AGACATAATTTAAGAATCTCAGTTTCCAAATATGGGGTAGAATTTTACAACTGTATATTCTGTGGTAGCAGAATAATGGCCCTCTAAAGATTCCCATACCCTAATCCCCAGAACCTACGAATATGTTACCTTACATAGCAAAAGAGATTTTGCAGATGTAATTAAGAATACTTTATTTGGCCGGGTGCAGTGGTTCACACCTGTAATGCCAGCACTTTGGGAGGCTGAGGTGGGCGAATGGCCCGAGGTCAGGAGTTCAAGACCAGCCTGGGCAACATGGCGAAACCCCCATCTCTACAAAAAAATAAAAAAAATTATCTGGGTGTGGTGGCACGTGCCTGTAGTCCTAGCTACTCGGGAGGCTGAGGCCATATCACTTGAACCTGGGAGGCAGAGGTTGCAGTGAGCTGAGATCACACCACTGCACTCCAGCCTAGGCAACAGAGCAAGACTCCATCTCAAAAATAAATAAGAAGTGAAAACACTCTAAATGTCTATAAACTGATGAATGGATAAACATTGCATATTATTATACAGAATACTGTCAAAAAAAGGAATGAAATATTGATTGATACATGCAACAGCATGGACAGCCCTTGAAAACATTATGCTAAGTGAAACATACAGAAGCCACATAGCATATGACTCCATTTATATGAAATAATAGCATTATATGAAATATTGAGAAGCAAATCCATGGGGACAAAAGTAGCTTAGTGTGGCTACCAGTGGCTGAGAGGAGGGAAGAATAAAGAGTGAATGCTGATAGGTATGAAGTTTGTAAGGTGATGAAAATGGTCTGGGATTAGACAGTGGTGATGGTTGCACAACCTTGTAAATATACTTAAAACTACTGAACTTTACATCACAAATGTTGGATTTTATAGTATCTGAATCATTATCTCCAGAAAAATAAAATAAAAAGGAATTAGAGCTTTATCAGATGACTTACAGGAACAACCGGGCACAAAACCATTTGTCATCTCATCAGGCCAAAAGCCAAGAATTTCATTTTATTTTTAGCTATCTTTTTTTTTTTTTTTTTGGACAGAGTCTCGCTCTGTCACCCAGGCTGGAGTGCAGTGGTGCGATCTCGGCTCACTGCAATCTCCGCCTCCCGGGTTCATGCCATTCTCCTGCCTCAGCCTCCCACGTAGCTGGGACTACAGGCGCCCACCACCATGCCTGGCTAATTTTTTGTATTTAGTAGACATGGGGTTTCACTGTGTTAGCCAGGGTGGTCTCGATCTCCTGACCTCGTGATCTGCCCGCCTCGGCCTCCCAAGGTGCTGAGATTACAGGTGTCAGCCACCGTACCCGGCCTATTTTTAGCTATCTTTATGTAACTGGTTTTTCCATTTATGGAAGGCTTCCCCTAAAAATACACTCATTAAATTTATGGAAGTTTTCCTTTAGAAATATATTTACATTAAAATATGAAGTCAATATAAATAATAGTATTTAAAACATTCAGTATATAATAATGTATGTGGCTGACCTGAAGTTTGGGAAAGTCCCAGTGTCCTATTCAGCACTTTTCAAAACCAGTAATACCATCTACATTAATAATAAAGTAAAACTTAATAGACCATTCGTTTCCCAACACCAAGTAAATCCTTAGATGTGTTCTTTTTTTGAGACACAGCTTCACTCTGTCGCCCAGGCTGAAGTGCAGTGGTGCGATTTTGGCTCACTGCAACCTCTGCCTCCTGGTTTCAAGCAATTCTTGTGCCTCAGCCTCCCAAGTAGCTGGGACTACAGGTGTGTGCCACCATGACCAGCTAATTTTTGTTCTTTTAGTAGAGAGGGGGTTTCACTGTGTTGGCCAGGCTGGTCTCAAACTCCTAACTACAAGTGATCTGCTGGTCTCAGCCTCCCAAACTGCTGAGATTATAGGCATGAGCCACTGCACCCAGCCCTTAGATGTGTTCTTTAAAGTATAATCCTTTTTTAAAAACTACTTCCAAGGGAATTTTCAGGGGTTAGATGAGTCCTCATCATAGGTTTGATTCCTTGTCATCAAAAGCTGTCATCCCCACTGGCTCTCCTCACAGCCAAGTATCCTAAACTGTGCAAGCTGAAGTATCTTGGAGTAACTGAGGAAAAACATTGACACTGACACATCTTTTGTATAAATTACTAGTTCCAGGTACTTCCGTTTCAATATGATATAGCACTACCTTCCCTTTGATGGCATCCTATCTTTGTGAAGCTGGGCTTGGAGCCACTGCTGTGACAAAAAGCACCATGCAAAAATCAATGCAGAAGAAATAAGGACAATGGGGTCCAATCTGATTCCAATTTTGAGAAATTGTACGGAGCCCAAAAGGCACACACATTCCATTAGTAACTGTGATGATTTAAGGATGAGATAAAAATTATCACATCAGGCTGGGCACAGCGGCTCACACCTGTAATCGCAGCACTTTGGGAGGCCAAGGCAGATCACCTGAGGCCAGGAATTCATTACAGCCAGGGCAACATAGCCAGAGCCCCATCTCTACAAAAACATTAGGTGGGTGTGGTGGCACATGCCTGAAGGCCCAGCTACGCAGGAGGCAGAGGTGGGAGACTTGCTTGAGCCCAGGAGTTTGAGGTCACAGTGAGCTACGACCCTCCAACCTGGGCAACAGAGCCAAGACCCTGTCTCTATTTTTTAAAAAATCATCACATCACTTTTGCTCGTGTATAATTTTTTTTCAAATGGCTACTAGAGTTGTTAGAACATAAGTTAATAAACGTAACTGTTAGGTTTTTCTTTTGGCCAAGGGACAAGCTGAAAAACATTACTGAGATTCTAACGATGTCAGAAACCAAAAGTCTGAGAATCTCTGGGTCATCTACTTCTATATATATATTTTATATATGTTATGTATATATGTATATATAATATACATATAAATATATACATAATAAAAATATATATATCCAATATTTTTTTTTTTTTTTCTTGAGATGGAGTTTCACGCTTGTTGTCCAGGCTGGAGTGCAATGGCGCGATCTCAGCTCACCACAACCTCCACCTCCCAGGTTCAAGCGAATTCTCCTGCCTTGGCCTCCCGAGTTAGCTAAGATTACAGTAAGGCATGCACCACCACGCCCCGCTAATTTTGCAATTTTAGTAGAGATGGGGTTTTTCCATGTTGGTCAGGCTGGTCTTGAACTGCCGACCTCAGGTGATCCACCTGCCTCCCAAAGTGCTGGGATTACAGGCATGAGGCACTGCGCCCAGCCTTCCTCGTACAAGTATATACACCCCAAACTTGCCATCATTCTTCAGTTCTTGTGCAAGAGTTCTCTGATTTAAGCAGTATGTAAAAGGATCAGTCACTCACATTAGAGGCCTACCTGTTGATAGGAAATGCCTGTTTTAAGTACCTACCGTAAGGCAATAAGTCAAATAGAAGCAGAGTAGAAACCGGACTATCTTCCTAGTCCAATGAGGAGTTGTATAGTGAGTGGATACACTCCCCCTCTCAGCTCCCCAGGATTACTTCATAAACTGTGAACATGACAATGAGGCACCAGAACTACTCAACACACATCTGTAGTCTCTGGCCCCTATCTGGGCCAGAGAATTCAACACCATCTACTATTCCCAACCAGGACTTCTGCAGGCAAATCATGCCACTTCTGATCTCTCCTCAAATTTTCTACCCTAAAAAGGAGCTTCCAATAAATAACTCAGACCCCAGCTAGCAGTTACTGTCCTAAATTATATAGTAGTATAAGGCGGCCACATAAATCCAAGGCATTACACTGTGATCGTTACTGTGTTAAATACGTATTTTTTTGAAGCTATTGTTTTTAATTATATTTTAAGTTCTGGGGTACATGTGCAGGATGTGCAAAATATGTACTTCTTTAAGATATTTTCATAGGTACAACAGCAGAACTACATTTAGAATTCACAAATAAAAGACTTTACATTTGTAATCCTTTAATCCCATTCACAGCAATTTGGAAAAGGAATGAAAACAAAGTATTTAGGGTTTCTACTCTTGAAAATGAGACACAAATTAGCTGGGCATGGTGGTATGTGCCTGTAATCCCAGCTACTTGGGAGGCCAAGGCAAGAGAATCGCTTGAACCTGAGAGGCAGAGGTTGCAGTGATCCGAGATCGCACTACTGCACTCCAGCTTGAGCGACAGAGCAGGACTCTCTCTTAAAAAGAAGATACAAACTAATCAGAATAAATTTAAAAATGTTTAAACCAAATTCATATACACCGTATATATAAATGTATGTCATACTTAACATATATTTAAAAAAGAAAAAAGAACAAGAGGGGATTTGTCCATAATCAAAACTTTATTGAAAAACGGACACCAAAATAGGAGATTACTGTTGTATACCTTACAAAACCAAATGTAATTACATTATCTTGGTAAATTAATTAGAATTATGGAATTTATGATAAGGCTTTCTGTGAGATAACACAAAATTCAGGAAGCTGTTTGAATCATTAGTGTTGCTTTCTTCTAAATGAACACCCTGCAAAAGAATCATGAGAGTATATTAAACAAGTGCATTCTACCTTTGCTATAATTTTAATAACAAAAAGTACTTTTAAGTAAAATACAGAAGTTTTAAGAATATTGGATTAATACTCATATACAGATTATTTATCCTCTTATACCAGAAATTTGCTATAATACATCTACCATATCTGAGTTTACTCTGGTATGACTAAGTGTCACTCCTATTTCTCAAATGCTATGAAGTGTACTTAAGACCATGAGCCTGAATTCAACAGTGAAGACTGTTTCAAGCAAGCTGTCAGAAGATATACAATACAAAAAATTAGCCAGGCACGGTGGCAGGCACCTGTAGTCCCAGCTACTCCGGAGGCTGAGGCAGGAGAATCGCTTGAACTCGGGAGGCGGAAGTTGCAGTGAGCCGAGATGGCGCCATTGCACTCCAGCCTGGGTGACAGAGCGAGACTCCTAATCAAAAAAACGAAACAAAACAAAAAAACCGTATGTCCTATAACATGTAGTTGTTCTTTTGCTTCTATTCTGATTTCTTTAATTTATTCCAAGTTAAGCAAACTAAGTGAATAAATATAAAAGAACTGGTGTTCTAAACTAAGAAAAATACGTCAATGGAGTTCCCTGCAAGGTCAAGAGTATAAATACATCCATTTGAACAGGATATTCTTTACTGAAAGCACACAACCAAAGATAAGTTATTTTGGTAATCATTAAGATTTCTTTAAACTTTTCAGTGAAGATGGAGACATTTATACTCATAGATCTCATCACTGGGTTGGAGAATGCCAAATGATGTACCTTCTGTGAGTCTGGCCTTTCCTCCTGTAGGCTGGCACAACACTGTTGAACAACCTACACAAAGAACCACTGTCTGAGCATGGCTGAAAACCGTGGTGATCTTGTAACAACCTTAAAAAAAAAAAAAAAAAAAAAAAAAAGAAAATTTATATGAAACAAACAAACAAAAAAGCCTGGATAGCCAAAACAATCCTAAGCAAGAAAAAAAAAAGGCATGTTAAAGTGAAAAGCAGAGGAAAACAGCACCTGTTCATTTCCGGTAATATGTAAAAAAAATTAGGAACTTTAGTGCTATGAAACAGCAAGCCATATGTGTAACATAAACTTTTTTAGCAGCGACACAAAATTTTTAAAAACAGGTAAAATCAATAATATATTTTATTAAACTTAATATTTCCAAAATATCAACAGACTTTTCCTTGTATCATGAAATAGAAAACTCATCATCTGAAGAGCTTAAAGACTAACTCAAATGGCATATCTCCTTTGAATGCCCGTTTTCACTTACCCCGAAATGTTTCTACAGTGGTTTCAGTACATTGATTATGAAAATGTCCCTGACATTTCCAATTCTGTAATCCCACGTCTACTCAACAGAGGGTTCTAATGTATCTTACCTATACACACCACACTAGCAATCCCTACAGAAATTTTCCTTAGTAAAGGAATTAAGATTTCAAATTTTACCTGGGCATTTTACATCCATAAAGTAAGAATTTGGACTTTGTACCAGGCGTTTCTTTTTATGTTTTTTCTTTTCCTCTTCCAAGGACGGATGTAGTAAATCTCTAGCCAACTGAACAAAGAAGCATATTATTACTATTAGTTTTAAACCACAATGCTGGCACATTTAACCATACGTAAAATATACATGCAAAAACCGGAATAAAGGTCATCCTCGGCAGAAGCAACACTTCAGATAGTAAAGTTATTTTTCGAAACCTGTTAATAACTTTCATCAATACTTTCCGTAATACTTGTGTTCTCCAAGTCCCTGTGAAAGTGCTTTCGGGCGATCAGGAAACATATGGTAAGGCAAACTCTGTCCTTTACTCAACTGCGTAATGAACTGTCTTCAGGGAAAACTGCGCGAAGTCGAGGTGCTAACAAAAGAAAGTGACCCCGACTGTGGACTCGCTTAGAGTAGAAACTGCTGAAGTAGACCAGATAACGCCAGCGCCCGGGTGATGTTTGCTCCTGGGGCTCAACAAGCTGATCTGACAGGAATTCTGGCTGAGCGACCGTTCTTGACGGAATTCATATATAAAGCAACAACGACGACAGTTTTTTTAAAAGGAAAACAAGTAGGAAATCGCTTTCGAAAGAAGGCAGAGGGGGCGAGAAACACCAAGCACTAGGAAAGCAAAAAGACCCAAAGATCACAGCCTCAGGGACACCCATCAAAAACCAAGACGGCTCATAAGCTACCCAGAGAGCTGTTCCCCTCCCAGCCACCGCCTCTGAATTGCAGCCCACGCCCCTGCAGGGCCAGCCGCGCCGCGCTGACGGGGCAAGTCACTACATGCCCGCCACGCGCGAAGACGCTGCGCAACCGGAGCCGCCTCGCCACTCTCGGACGCTACAGGCCCGGGAAACAGCCGGACTCATCCGTCCCATGGGACCCTCGGTAAAGAAGCCCAAAACAAACCCGGAGCCCGACGTAAACAACTTACAGGCATGTTGATCCTCTCGCAAGCCCAGCCCTCACAGACTTCTCAGCTTACACCGCTGGCAAGCTGCACGCGATCTGCGCTCGGCATCAACTTCCGGGATAGAGGCGGCTGGGAGGAGCAGCGGGGCGGGCCTGTCCGCTCTAGGCCCTCCTCTCGGTGGTAGGCGGGGACCCTCAAGCCGGGTCCACTGGTCCAGGGCGCAGGGAAGACCCGGGGATGGTGTGCGTTCGAGGGTGCCAAGTCCCGTGGGTCTAACGGGTTCGTCGGCGAGGGCCGCGGGCTCTGCGATGCCTGAGGCCAGAATCTGACGGGGGAGCGGCCTCGGGCTTAGGCCATGGCGAGGGAGCGCCGGTGGCCACCCTGGCCGGCGCCACTCCGAACCCGGCTGGCCCTCAGCGCCGGCCCCGGCCCCCTGGCCCGGCCGCTCTCGCTTGGCTCTGGGGGTGGGCACACGCGGCGATGACACTATTCTCTTCTTTTGTATATTAAAAAATACAGTATGATTAACCATTAATACGTGCCAGAGAGATTATGAAAGAGGCTCGTATCCTTTTGGCTTCCCTTTCCAAGGCGGAGATTTCGAAGTTTTCTGCGGGGTGTGGCGGTGCCTTAGGTTTGCGGCTGTGCCTTAGGTTTGCTTTGCTCGGAAAATAAGTTTTTATAACAGCACGGATTCGCTGCTGTGCCTCGGTCACTAAGAGACCCACCCCTTTCTGTCTTCTGAGGATTACCCGTACTTTGCAGAGTGGACAACTCGGGGTCCTGAGAAAGGCGAATGTCACCGATGACAGAACATGAGTCTTTATCATTGTTATTATTTGAGACAAGGTCTCGCTCAGGCTGGAATGCAATGGTGCCATCACAGCTCACTGCAGCCTCGACCTCCTGGGCTCAAGCGATTCTCCCGCCTCAGCCTCCCGAGTAGCTGGGACCACAGGAAGACGCCACTTTGATTTTTTTTTTTTTTTTTTCTTAGAGACAGGGTCCTGCTATATTGCCCAGGCTGGTCTCCAACTCCTAGGCTCAAACAGTCCTCCCACCTCAGCCTCCCAAGTAGCTGGGACCACAGGCGCGTGACAGCATGCTCTATTTTTGAGGAGGAAACTCTATGCTTGAAAGATGGGTGTCATGGGCGACCAAAAGGCAAGAAAGACACTGGACCAGAAAATTGGCCTAACTGCATTTTTTTTTTTTTTTTGGCAGAGTCTTGTTCTGTCGCCCAGGCTGGAGTGCAGTGGCACAATCTTGGCTCACTGCAACCTCCGCCTCCCAGGTTCACGCAGTCCTCCTGCCTCAGCCTCCCAAGTAGTTGAGATTACAGGCGTCTGCCACCATGTCCGGCTACATTTTGTGTTTTTAGTAGAGACGGGGCGGGGGGTGGGGGTGGTTTCACTATGTTGGCCAGGCTGGTCTCGAACTCCTGACCTCAAGTGATCCGCCCGCCTTGGCCTCCCAAAGTGTTGGGATTACAGGCGTGAGCCACTGCATCCGGCCCTAACTGGATGTTCTTAATCACCTTATTTGTCTTTGCAAAAAGGATACATGTATAATATACATTTTGGGAAATGCAGAAAAATAGAAGAAACTTTACCATCTGGAGATAAACATTTTTAACTTTTGACCTATATCCTTCCTAATATTTTTTACTCACTTGGATATAGGTTTATTTTGGGTTTTGACTTAACCTAATTGGGATCATCTTGTGCATAATCTTTTGTAGACTTGAGTTTTCCTCCCACTTACTATAAAATGAGCATCACTCCATGTCACTACATTTTTTTTTTTTTTAAACAAGATCTCACTGTGTTGCCCAGGCCGGAGTGCAGTGGCATGATCTTGGCTCACTGCAGCCTCGACCTGCCAGGCTCAAGCAATCCTCCCACCTCAGCCTGCTGAGTAGTTGGGACTGCAGGTGCTAGCCATCACGCCTAGCTAATTTTTGTATTTTTCATAGAGATGGGGTTTTGCCATGTTGCCTAGGCTGGAATATTCTACATTATGCTTCTTAATGGGCATGTAGCATTTGTCCTGTGACTATATATGTATTCATTTCAGCCATACATGAAATTGGGCATTAGGTTTGGGTTTTTAAATATTTGATACTTAAAAATTAATAAAATATTGGTAAATATTAAATATTTCTTGCGGATAAGTATATAGAACGATAGAATTGTATACACAGAATAATGGCCCCCAAAGACATCAGTGTCCTAATCCTCAGAACCTTTAGTTACACGGCAAGTGGAATAAAGTGATGATTAGCTGATTTAATCCAGAAACATTATCCTGGATTATCTGTGTAGGCCCAGTGGAATCACAAGGGTTCTTGAAAGTGGAAGAGGAAGACAGAAGAGTGAGAAAGAGATGTGGTAATGGAAGAATGTCTGAGAGGTGCTGTGTTGATGGCTTGTAGATGGAAGAGGGCCATGAGCCAAGGAATGTGGGCAGCCTCTAGAAGCTGGAGAAGGCAAGGAAATTGACTCCCTCCTGGATCCCCCAAAGAGGGACACAGCCCTGCCAACATCTCAACTGTAGCCCAGTAAGACCTGGCTCAGACTGCTATCCAGAACTGTAAGATAATAAATTTGTCTTGTTGTCTGTAATTTCAGCACTTTGGAAGACCAAGGCGGGCAGATCACCTGAGGTCAGAAGTTCAAGATCAGCCTGGCCAACATGGTGAAACCCCGTCTCTACTAAAAATACAAAAATTAGACGTCGTGGCACACACCTGTAGCCACCAGCTACTCGGGAGACTGAGGCAGGGGAATTGCTTGAACCTGGGAGGCAGAGGTTGCAGTGAGCGGAGATGGCGCCAATGCACTCCAGCCTGGGCAATAGAGCGAGACTCCATCTCAATAAATAAATAAATAAATAAATAAATTTGTGTTGTTTTAAGCCATTACATTTATGGTAATTGGTTACAGCAACAATAGAAAACTAATGCAATAATGAAGATGCGTGTACCCACTACCTAGCTCTGTGAAAGCTTAACATTCAATACTCCCCCCCAGCAACTTTTCATTATTAACACTACAATAACATTCTTGGAGATACGTTTTTGTGTTTGTCCTCATTCCCTTAGGATCAATTCCTGGAGGAAGAATTGCTGAGTCATACGTTATGCACATTCTAAGGTTTGTAATATAAACTGCCAAATTACCCTCCAAAAAAGCGAAACCAATTTATATTCCAGATATAAATGTATGTGAATGTCCCTTTCTTTGCACCCTTGACAATACTGGATATTATGTTTTTCCCTATCTCAATCCAGAACTATTGTTTTGAACTAATATTTTGTCATATTTCATTATTGTTGTAATTAATATTTTCCATATGCTTATTGTCCATTAGCATTTTTCTGTTTTTTTTTTCTTGTGTTTTTGAAAACAGGGTCTTGCTCTATTGCCCAGGCTGGAGTGCAGGGGTGCAATCATGGCTCCCAGCCTCAAGCAATCCTCCTGCCTCTGCCTCTGCCTCTCAGAATGCTGGGGTTACACTGTGACCCACTGTGCCCTGCCTAATTTTATTTTTTGATGATTTGTTTTAATCATGCAGAAGTTTTTAATGTTATATATTCACACACACACACATATTTCAAATCTATTGCTTTTTTCCTTTTTGCTATTGTTTTTAGAGAGGCATTGGTCACTGTAGGATTAACTGAATATTTGCCCTTGCTTTCTTCTAATTCTCTTGTTATGATATTTATTCTTTAACTTTTTAATTAAGTTGGAATTTATTTTGGCACTTCATGTATCATAGGTCTCAGAACAATTTCTGATTATTAGGCCTAGTGATGGCTTCAGTTCTTGTTAACTAATGCCCATTACAGTGTCAAAACCCTCCAGCCTCTGAGACAGTCAGAGGCAGCCTGAGAAATCAAATGTTCAAGGTCCAGAAGACCTGGACTGTAATTACAACTCTGCCTTCTCCTCCTCCAAAGCTCAATTTCTCCTAAAATGTTTTCAGGCCCCTGCACTGATGGCAGATGCAGGGCCCTGGAGTCCCTTTGCCTTGGCAGCCTGCTCTCAGGGATCGTGCACCTGGCTTTCCAAAGAACTGTAAAGCACCAGTCAAAATCCTGTTTACTGTCCTGGGAAATTTCCAGCTATTCTAGCTAGCCAGGTCTAAGTAGGTGCCACTGAAACCTCCCATTTGGCACTGGCTCCCTTCACCTCAGAAGGGTGTGGCCATCTCTACTCCCATCTCCCTTTACCAAATTCTTTTTTTTTTTTTTTCTCAGATGGAATTCCAGGCTGTAGTGCAGTGGTCCAATCTCAGCTCACTGCAACATCCACCTCCTGGGTTCAAGTGATTCTGGACTACAGGTGCACGCCACCATGCCCGGCTAATTTTTGTATTTTCAGTAGAGATGGGGTTTCACCATGTTGGCCAGGCTGGTCTCGAACTCCTGACCTCAGGTGATCCGCCTGCTTTGGCATCCCAAAGGGCTGGGATTACAGGCGTGAGCCACCGTGCCCAGCCTCCCTTCACCAACTTCTAGTGCTGGGAAAACACACAGGTGTTCCGGCAGGCTAAGCCGGGAACCCAATGAGTGCTAAATTTCAGGCCCCAAGTGCTGCTCTAAATAAATCAGATCCCCAGCTTTCCCCTGGACTGAAGTTTTTCATGCCTATGCCCTTTTTCCAGAAAGATGATCAAGGGGTTAGTTTAGTTTTGCTTTTAAGAAATTCAGGCCAGGCGCAGTGGCTCACGCCTATAATCCCAGCACTCTGGAAGGCCAAGGTGGGTGGATGATTTGAGGTCAGGAGTTCAAGACCAGCTTGGCCAATATGGTGAGACCCCGTCTTTACTAAAAATGCAAAAATTAGCCAGACATCAAGGTGTGTGCCTGTAATCGCAGCTACTCAAGAGGCTGAGGTAGAAGAATCATTTGAACCCCGGAGGCAGAGGTTGCAATGAGCTGAGATCGTGCCACTGCACTCCAGTCTGGGCAACAGAATGAGACTCCATCTCAAAAAAAAGAAAAAAGAAAATTAGAGTTTGAGGTAGAGGTCCTAAAGATAACTTTTCTTTTTTTGAGTCAAGGTCTCACTCTGTTGCTCACACTGGAGTGCAGTGGTGTGAAACAGCTCACTGTCGCCTTGACTTCCTGGGCTCAAGCGATTCTACCTCAGCCTCCAGAGTAGTTGTGACCATAGGTGTGTACCACCACACCTGACTAATTTTTTAAAAATTTTGTAGAGACAGGGTTTTGCCATGTTGCCCAGACTGAAAATAACTTTTCTTTTCTTTTTTTTCTTTTTTTTTTTTTAGATGGAGTCTTACTCCGTCATCCAGGCTGGAGTGCAGTGACATGATCTCAGCTCACTGCAACCTCCACCTCTCAGGTTCAAGCAATTCTTCTGCCTCAGCCTTCCCAGTAGCTGGGACTATG